CCTGCTGTGAGTGAATTGTAATAATATGCCAACCTGTGCAAAACTGCAGGTCAGCGAGGAACAGAAGTGAGACTTGTCATATTATGAGGAGAAAGAGGGACATTTCTCTTAAAATACACTTGTCTCCACCCCTTTGTCTCTCTCTTGACTCCCTGGAGAGGTACAGCATGTTTTTTTCTACTCTACAGCTATTAGGAACATCGCTGCAGGGCCAGTCAAGAAGAGGGAAGAGAGGAAACCAGTAGGTTATAGAGGCTCCCTGGCTTGTGAGACTAGAGAGCGTCCAAAGTCATTATTTCATAATAACAAACATAGTCACTCATTCACCTTTTCTCCAGAAAACAACAGTTATGCATACCTGCACCTATAGGAGCTTCACATCTCTGTAAATGTAAAGATGTAAAGTTCCTATAGGTGCAGGTATGCATAAGCTATATAACATATATGTTCATCTTACTCTGTCCTGGTTAGAGAACTCTGTACAGTCTCAGAAGTCTCATTCAGCACTGACCACATAAGTGAGGTCAGAGTTAGGTGCTTACGCTATATTTAAATCACCCACTTTTTCCACACCCTCACAAAAATCACTCTTGCTTTTGCAGAAACCACTTTTATGGGTTCAGGGAAACATGGAAGATGATGCAAGAGATTAAAATAGTCTCGCTCAACTCTATTCTGCTGCTCTTAGAGTGAGTATTATTCTGAATATTCCACTGACATCAAACAGGACAAAAGGTGGTCCCTCCTGAGCATGTCTCATTGCTGGACCATATCTGTCAGGCTACCAAGTGCTCACATCTTTGCCTCCCATCATCTTATTCTGTCTATTCTTCTCTCTGATTTCCTTTCTAACCTTTGTCTAAAAAATCCTTTTCATTTTTCTATTATTCCTCTCCCTTTCCACCTTCCTTCCATGTGAGCCAAAACCCCCAGTGACTAACATGGCAAGCATGCACCTTAAAATTCTGGCTCATTTTTGCTATTTTCTTCCAAAATAGGGACAAGCACTTAGAAAAATTGTATTTAAAATGTCTCCTCAGCTGTTTTCTTATACTGCAAAAAGAAAAACAAAATGTCAATTATAAAAACGATTAAAAAATAGCAAGACAGAAAAAGATTCCCAGCTGAGGAAAATGAAGTCCCTCTCTTCTTTGTCTGATGGCAGAACAAAGTATACCAGGGCAATCATGGAATGGAGGTAGCAGAAAGCAGGAAACCAGAGGATACATGGGGGACAGAACATCAATTCAAGCATGCTGGCATAGATTAGCACGTCCCATTACAAGCGATGCTGATCAGAGTCATTAGCATTTTTCAGCATCTTCACCCTGATTGTGTAAAAGCCCAATTATCCCCAGCACTCTTAGACACAATTGTGTGTTATTTCCACTGGGAAAGAGGGCGTACAGTGTCTGGTATAACGATGGATTACCATTCTGAGATATTACAGGGTCCAAAACACAGGCTTACGTGTGAGCTCTGCTCTTAAAGCTGAAGGGTTCTGGATGGTTTTGGATTCTGTTCCCGATCCAGTGTCGTAATCCAGCTCCCGGTAGTAGATCCGGTATCCCAACAGCAAACCGTTCAGACTCTCAACTTTGGGTGGCTGGAAAACATTCACATGAAGAACAGGCTTGTTAAGATGCACATTGCAACAAACATCCGTTCAACGGGCATCGCTGACACCGCTCCTGCGGGAAGGGACGCGGTGCTCACGCTGTGTGAAAACAGCCGTCAATAACACACAGGGTCAAAGGTGGTGTAATTTGAAAAACACAAGTTAAAGGCAACTTTGATGATTCCACTCAGCCGTGGCAATTAGAAAAGGCTCCTAAAAACTGACATCTGATGCGCTACACTAAGAGCTAAGCTCCTTTCCTTCTTGGTCCAGAAAAACTTGTGTATGATGAAGAATATAAACAAACATGTCCCTGAAAATGCACGTTGCTGGCCGCTAACAGTGGAATAGCAAACTGGTATTTCACTTCCGAGATGAAAAGAAATAAATTATTTTGTCAAAGACCGAATTTCTTTAGCAGATATTCTCCTTGGGGAATGTTCATAAAGCATTTCTCATTTGGCATTATTTTCCTGAAAGACTGATGAGAAAAATAGCAAAGCATTGGTGTATTCTGGCTTTAATTAGGAAGATGAAAATAGTTCTAACAGCCTCAGAGAGACATTTAGAGAGGAATCACAGTATGATGGACTCTGGTGCGATGCACAGGTCTGGAACCACAGGCAAACCCAGGTCTCCTCCCTAACAGCTTGGAGCACAACGGTACCTATGGCCATTGAGGTGGCTCAAATATGAGCTTTTTTTTTTTTCTTCTGCAAGATACTGGAAGATGCTCAAAGACATGGTGCCTCGGTAAGGATTCTTCAGCAGCCCCTCACATCTTCCTTCAGATACAGATATACAGCCAGTACACTGAATAAGAGATTTTTGCCTGAATGGTTTGCTTAAAGAGAGGCAAGCAAAGGGATTCTTTATGTTTGGGGAAAAAAAAATTTACTTTCATGATTCTAATACAGGCTAAGAACTGCAGAGAAGAAAAGATGCCCTGAGCCATTTATCTTCTCAAGATTCTTGTCCTGAAATTTAAGGGGCTGAAAGTATAAATGAAAAGGATTTTAATGATGATCTCGCCTTTAATCCAGAAAGATCCTTAGCAGTCTTGAGAACTTTACTACGGAAAACCTTCTGTCCATTGTGGAAAAATTAACCACTGGTGTGAAACGCTGTCACAATAGAAGGTAATACCACATGTAATTTTAACGAAGAAAGTAAGAACATTTTTACAGGAAAGGAGGAAGGTATTTGGCAATAACCTAATATTCTGGTTCCAGAAATGACAAGAATTTTCCATTACCTCATTATGATGGCAAGGGGAGTGAGAGGGCTGTCCTGTCTCAGTGCAAAGAACTTTGCTTTGTGTGAGGGCTGGGGGGAATTTAGTAGAAAGATTGCAGAAAGAAAATTATGTGAACCAGAGTATAAGGAAGCTACGCAGCTGCCAGGAAAAGGAGCAGAAACTGCTCCTGCAAGAAGTCATCTTCTTTTGCAGTTGTCCTGCCCCGGGCCTGCTGAAAGCAATCCAACTAGTCCCAAGATCTTGCTGTACTTGGTCTGCATGGGTGAAGAACCTCATTCATCATTGTTTCATGCTTATTATTGTGCTCCATCCTTTGGAGAAGCTCTGACCACCTTTCACTACTATTTAGCATTTACATTTCAGAATGCTCTAGTAACACAAGATTGTGAGGGACCCCCAGAATCATCAGGACTAGGCCCTCAAGACTGCAGAAGACAACTTCTCAAAGTTCTTTTCACAAACAGAGCAAGCTCCATCAGAAAACTAGCTAGTAGTTCTGCTTGCCTGTATTCCTACTGGAAAGCTGTTCCAAACCTCACTGCCTGGGTGGTCAGAAACCTTCATTCAATTTCTAATCTAAATAATTCATAGCTAGTTTATAACCATTTGTTCCTGTGCTAACATTGCCTTTTGGGTTAAATTGTTCTTCTCCCTATGGAGTGTTTACTCCAGAGATGTGTTTTAAAAAGGGCAATCATACTCCCTCTCAGACTCCATTTTACAAGGCCATAAATCAATCTCAGTACAACAGCCTTTCCTAGTCTCAGACTGATCCCCTTGTTCGAGGGACCGGGCCAACAGACCAAACAACGTGACAGCCTTCTCCAGGGCTGCTTGGTGACATCATCACCCTGGACCAGCTGAAACGTTCTCTGCAAGGTGGAAAAGATGAGATATGGTTTACTAGCAATTAGTAGTATCTCTATCATCTTTTTTTTTTTCCTCTCTTCCAATCTTCTGACTTTCCTCTTTTGTTTTCTATATTCTACTGAAGTTGCTTTAGCTCTGATGGTGCCCGAGCAGAGAAAGGCTCCATAGTGTGGCAGTGTCCTCGGCTCCTTCTGTCCTGGCAGGGAGGAGGCACACAGCAAAGCATGAGAATTGCCTTCTCCAGAGACAGGGTGAAGGGAGGCACTGTCCCACCAAGATGCATCTTGAGTGCATCACCACAAAGGAGGAGAGAGGCTACAAGAAAACAAAGACTATCCATCATGGAAATAAACTCACAATGAAAAAAATACTGTGAACATTACCTGGATTTGTATTTCAGTTCATTGTTACCTAGAAGGAAGGTGCTCTTGGAAAGATTCAATGTCTTTTCCTATTTTAACTATTTTTTTTTTAATTATTGTTTAAAAAAAAAGTTGAGATGGAATATCCTACAGAATCTTAAAAGGAAAACATTGCTGAAGGTGAGAAAGAGGCTGTTACTCCCTGCTCTGCCATATAACTGCCTAACAAAGCTTAATTCCTCATTGCGGTACGACACAGATTTGTTGATAGCAAGCATTGTTTTCTTATGCTTTCATGTGATTCTTCATTTTTTCCTTCCTTTAAATTTAGGACAGGAAAGCTCAGAAAACAAATGGCTTGAAAATTGTCTTTCTCCTTGCCATGGAAATGATGATTCTTTCCTGAAAAGGGTACTCTGCTAAAGGTCAGGTCTTCCCCTTCCTACCTGTCTTTCATGGACAAAACTCTGCTTTTGATCTAACGGATTATTTAGGATTTTGTAGGAAGGCCTGAGGGATCCACTGAAATAGGTAAAATGATTATGAGTGGCAGCCCGTAATACTGTATGGGAGTAAGAGAAACATTTTTGCGCTGTTTAAAAATAAATAAAAAAAAAGACAAAAAGGTAAGTTTGAATAATTGTTATCTCTAAGGTAGAAGCAGAACAGTACATGATCCTGATGTTAACTGTAATATCCTCTCGAACATTTGAAATAATCTTGCATTATTGATACAATAGACCTCAATGGAGATTACTTATTTTCTTCCCACTTTGAATTTAAAAATAATGGACTGATTGGACCAAGCAGCTGAAAGCACAGACAGCGCATCTAGAGTTTGTTTTGTGAATTATTAACACAGCTCAAAGTTAAAAATTTAGCTTTGCTTGGAAATCTACTCTCCCATTTAGCTTGACTGCTGTTTTCAGTTTACATTATTTCTCAGACACTGCTGTGAAACTTCTTCTTAATTGGAGGCTATTGTGGGACTTGAAGATTTTTGTTTATTTGAAAAATATAGTACGGCTGAATTACCACGGCCTATTAATATACATGTAGTAATGACATATAATCGCCCACAACTCCCTTGAGATGGCTCTGGCACAACAACCCCATTTCATTTTCATGAAATAAAAAGCATCCAATTACCTAAACAACCACCTATTTCACATTAACTACACACCAATAATCAGTCAATTGGGGGAATGTTTATTTCTGCGGTACATCACGCCTCACATCCTCTTTGTCCTCTCTTTGTATACCTTTTTTCCTCCACTGTGGGCTTTATTTGTAGGTGGAGCGGTAGATTTACATCTCTCCATAATTCCTTTGGTAAAACTCTTCAACGTGCCTTCTGTTTGTTCAACACACTGTAAGCAACGATGTTGCTTAGTATTATGCTGCGTGAACTTGGGCCAGCAACCCAGCAGTACAGCCAGGCATATTTTTAAAGTGCTGCTGCATAGCAATAAACAGACCCTCATACATATATTTTTTTCCAAAAACACAAAGAGCCCCATCTGTACTGTAAATGCATATCTACATTTTTCACTATAATGCAATCTGTCCAAAGTTATACTTATTATGTGTGTGGGACATTGTCTCGGGAGCAGGGTGGGCAGAGGCTTTCCAGGATAGGTTACGGAGAACGTGCAGTACCCCACTGGGTTCCCTCTATTAATGCTCACTCCGCAAAAAGAAGCCTCAGGCACTGGGTCACAAAACGTTCCAGCATCTCCCAGGAGGCCAGTATTGAAAGATAAAGGAAGGCAGAGGAGATGCCTATATAAAACACAGACTTGGCACAAATACTTTCACATCCAACTCCGAGATATTATGGAGAGCTGAATCTTGCTTGCTTTTCTCTGAAGAAATCTCAATTTCTAACCCTCAAAGAGCCAAAAGGGCTTGTGGAGCTCCTCAAAGGATGAGCAGGATCTCAGGCACAGCATACGCTTCTGATTATTTCGGCAGCTGAAGGAGGCAGTACGCGACGCAAACGAAAGCGAGCTTTTGAGTAGCTGATCTTTACCAATGCCCTACCCTGTTGAACATTTTCCATGTAAAGATGCACCTCTATTGGTATCAATAAAAGGATGAGAGAATCTGTACGAGTAACGATCTTGGGCATCACTACGGAAACTCCGTTATCTCCCAAGCTTTCCCTCATGGGGCACAAAGTAAAAGCAACTGCCAGAAACTTCCATCCATCACCAAAATAGATGCCTAGATCAGGAAAATAAGGAAGTAGCTGCAGTCCTTCAATTTTAACACAATACTTCCAGCTCAGGAAAACGTGCCGTGCAATGTACCATTAAGGCCAACAAGTCAAAGCAACCAAAAAATTGCTTGAGAAACATGAACATTTTGCATTTTACCTACCTGCCACTGCACAAGGACAGATGAAGTTGTGTGGGGCGTTACTAACACAGATCTGGGGGGTTCACCTGGAACTAAACAAGAAAAAAGGGTAACCAAAGCAGTTACAGCAATAGGGTGGAAAACAGGCAGCTTATTCATCAAACTCTCTTTCTTCACTGCTGAAGAAAACCTTCTATCCCAGTTACTACATGGTGGGTCTCCAAAACAATGTGGTGGATCTGAATATTGCAACCCAGGCAGAAGCCAGCCACTTCTCCTACATCCCTTGCTCTACCTGTGGCCTTGGCAACTTGAGCAGGAATAAGAGAAAAGCTGAGGGCGTAGATCTGGAGGAAGCTGCAGCGTGCCAGCCGCTCACAAACTGGATACACATTTGAAAGGAAGTTAAACCAGCTGCGTGTGTGCACGAAAGCGTGGGCGAACCGCTCCTAATTTTTCTGTGATATTTTTGCTACAGCTGGGGAAAGCTCACCTTGTTTTCGGGAGCCTGTGTCACGTATTCACACATTATTTTAGTTAGGATAGCTTGATTTACCACGGTTAACCCATTCCTGTGCCCACGGTTTATAACATAAACACACACATTTAGCAGCTCAAATACGAAGAAGCGAAGGTTTATCAGGAGCTGACAGCCCTCCGCAGTGCAATGCTCTAGTGGCAGCACCAGGTTTGCTCAGCAGAATAAATGTTGTTTGTTAAGGAGGTGAGAAGGTTTCACACCCTTTCCCCGTTGCATTGTGAGGAGGCCAAGCACAACTCCGGATTCACTGTAGCTAAATTCAAAGAGAATTGAAAATAAAATTTTAAATTCCGAAACAGTGAGTCAGTGCTGCCTCATTAGCACCAGTTACAGCCTGCGCCTGCCACTGTTCAGGAAGGCAGTGAGTCAGGATGTCTTTAAAAGGCTGTTAGGCACATTACTCGAGTATTACGTGGATTCTTGTTTAACTTGTTTTTCTGATTTCGAGATCATATTCTTTAAACATTCCTTTGTAAAACTGTTCCCAATTTTGGTATCTCAGTATCATATTTAACCAGTCATTCCTTGCCCTGTATTAAATACTGGCTAGTTGCTAGCACTGTGTATATATATCCATTTGTGTATATACATATGTACTCCAGTACTACCTCGTTTCCCAGGCTAAGGGTAAATACTGATGCTTTTTTACACTTTGCAGAGTTCCTTTCTCCATTCAGACATCAGAGCTACTTCTGCATTCAGGCATTGACTTTATACAATCAAGGAATTAGAAGCTGATCTCTAAGGCTAAAAATAAAAGCCTTGTCAATGTCATTCACAGTTTATTAGGCTTGATCTGCCGGATTAAATGCTCATGTCTCCAGGAGCTTCATACTCTTTCTTACTTAGACCTCAGCAATTTTGCCATACTGCAGACTGATGTGGATTGTGAGTGAAAACAATTGAAGAAACTTCTTCAAACGTATGCATGGTTCTACATTCATTTTTAATGATCTTTTGTAAATTATTCAATTTCTGCAACGATAATGGTTAGTGCAGAGTTTGGAAGCCAATCAAACGGAGTTTAATTCCATTTTGAGACTCCTGGAAGTATGATTCATTATAAGAGGGCACAGCAGGACACTTAAGGCTGTCTGTTATTAATTCAGCCACATCTCATTACTACCTGTATCAATCTCCTATGAACAAAACTGCATTGGCTGTTGAATTTTCCCTCTGCAGTCCCAGTGGAGAACACATTGCAGCGGGTCCAGCAGACCCAGAAGCACTGGGGAGCACCCCATGGCGATGCCCCCAGTTTGCCTCTCCTCCTGGCTTACCATCCTGCAGAGTTGTCACCGCCTCGGTCTCCGCACTGAAGTCGCTGTCTCCGATGTCGTTGGTTGCTTTCACTCGCAGTTTGTAAGAGGTGAAAGGGTTCAAGCTGTGGAAGGTAAAAAATTAGGCTGAGGGATGAAATCTCTCCACATCATCACAACTTGCCTCAGAACAAGCCTCTACAGAGAACCTGCCCGTTGGCAACCAAAGCCATTGAGTAGTCTGTCTCTTCTCCACGTCACCTTTTCTTTGCAGCCTCCTCCAGCTTCGTCAGGACATGGGGGTGTTTGCACCCTTGCTGCAGTCAGCATCTTCGCAGATATCCAGGGGTCTGAGTTCCACTGAATTGGGCTCCAGAAAACAGCTATGAAGTTGCAAGTGCATGAAGCAGCCTACGACTGGGGCTCGGTGGAAAGGACAAGATGTGCTGCTATCCGAGTTTTGCCTGGCTACGCAAAACCTGGTTTTCAAGGTGCTTTGCCTGAGATAGCCTCAAAACAGACCTGTGGGTCAGCTCATCCTCAGTGCACAGATGGGGATGACAGGCAGAGAGGAGGCAGGTAACGTGTCCAGGGTCAGGCAGCGAGCGGCAGGCTCTGGAATTCAGAGCACCAGCCTTCCAACTAATCCTCCAGACCATACCATTTGATCAGCGCATTTTATTCCTACTGAATTTCAAATTAATGCTATTACCTGGATTATTTAATAAAGACAGTAACAACAGGTTCCCTGCAGCTCTTTTATCTATGCAGTGCTTTAAGATATGCAAAGAGTGATTTCCAGCTGACATAACTTTAGTGAAGATTCCTCTGGCTTGGCTTGGCAGGGAGAAGGTGTGGGGGAGGCTGCATTTTGAGACACACGCAGAGGCTAGAAATGCAGAGTGGTAAGTTACAAGGGATTTAGCTAATTAATTGGTAGTGTCTAGCCATCAGCTGGCAGATGTAACACTGACTACAAACCCAAGTAAAGTTCCTTGTAAGGAATGATTAACATCAAGGGATAATGCATTCTGATGGGCAACGCTCTCTCATCACGTATGTACTATTCTTCCGGACTTGCACAGGAAAATGCTTTTAGCAAGGGGTAGAAAAGATCTTTTTCGGTAGTTCCACCCTTTTAGGACATCATTACTTACTGACAGTGACTTGAATAATTTGAATCATCTTTCTTGATCTTTTGTTTTCAGTAATGCCAATGTCAAGTCTAAATGACATAGTTGGTTTCCTTGATTTTTACAGGTTTTGACTGGAAAGACACTGGGTATGATCCAGGGTGGGTATAACACCTCCAAGGTGAGTCAATCAAGTTCATGTTTGTACCTATAAGTGTCAAGTTTTCTTTTTTCTGCACAGTTAGACAAAAGGAGAGCAATGTATCTGCATCCTCTGGTACATGACCAGTGAGCTGCCATAGACCATAGCCGCTGATGTTTTTACAACAGACCTGAACAATCTGTATCTGAATGCTTTGAATACTTGAGTCTCCAAAAGGTCACGGCCTTTTAAAAATAATCTGATTTGTACTACCTGGTCAATAGAGGAAATGGACAGCAAAACAAGTACCTTCTCATAGACATTCAATTGCTTTTGCAGATGTTACAAGGACTTTAATTACAACAGCATCGCTGAGGATATAATGAAGCCTGAATAACAAAGTTTAAACATTCTGATGCTATCTATAAACTTCAGTATGGAAAATACAGATAAAAACGGTTCTCATTTCATCTGGAAAGGCTTATATAGAGATAATTGCAACGCAGCATTGAGAGTGGATTTTTAACATCAGTCACTACTGAAAGGATTTTTAACTAATTGTATTTTACAGAACGCTGTGTAGCTACATATGGTTTAGCCTGAGTGGCGTTATCTACCGTGCTGAGCTTTCAGGAAGGGCTTCAAAAAGGTGCATTGCAATCTAACGTTAATTAGATTTATTGCATGACCTTCAGCAAAACTCTCAACTGCTGTTCATAACACCACCTCTAAAATGGGAGCAGTGACCTCACTTAACCTCTTGCCTCCCAAAAGACCGTGAAGCTGAGCAATGCTTGCTTTGGCTTCCTAACTGTTGGAAGGGGAAAGCGTGGGAATGTCTTTGCTAGCCTGGGATCGTACGGTACCTTTCAATAATGCAGGATGTTGCCTCATGGCTGATGGAAGAGGAGTAGGTTTGCCACTCTCCATTTGGCAGTTCTCGCACTTGCACTGTGAAGTATCGTATTGGTGAAGATCCATCACTTCCAGGGACCCATTTCAACAGCAGACTCCGTGAAGATACATCACTCTGAGGGGTCATCAGCTGTCTGGGAGGTGCTGGTCGTTCTGCAATTAAATCATAATTTGGTACTGCTTTGAGAGGAAATTCAGGCTATCACAAAACGCGATCAGATTTCCATAGTGGTAATGCCACAGGAGACTGAATTTTCAGATTTGTCCCATGAAGTATACAACCCATCCCGTTCCTTAACCTTCTACTTCAAAGAAAAGCAGTAAAACAGATTCTTATCTCCTTGTATAAAAGGAATACTTTCCTAGCAACAGACCTCAAACTTGGGGGGTTCTTAGGCTGGCAGGTTAAGGAAGAATCATTAGGACCAGCAGCCAAGCAACCAAGGAAGTCTCTAATGAAACTCAGCTGTGTTTCCAGCTTCAATTGCTCTTTGGACAGAATTTTCCTGTAAACTAGTTCACTTTTTAACCTGTGCATACTACTTGGCACCATGGGACTATGTTCTCTCTGTGCTGCGTAGCATCCTCTTCCACCAGCTGCTCCCCATTCGAGGCAGGAAGAGGAGGAAAGGATGAAGCTGGAACAGGCTGGTGTGTAGCAGAGTCCAAGCACACAACTCACAGCCAATCCTGAGTTCCTGCACCAGCTCTCTCTGGCAAGGAACTGGGAACCATCACCAGCTTCCGCTGCTGCTTCCAGACCCCAGCTTGGAGATGGCGCAGAGCTGGGGCTTGAGTACCTGCTGCTGTTCCCTTCCAGACCTCCCCAGTCCTTCCCTCCATACCCTCTAAGCTTGAACCTGCAAAGCCAAACCAGGCAGTGCCAATGCTGAGGGAGATCTCTCCAGAGTAATTAACCGTGCACCTTTTAGATGAGGCAGGGAACGGTATGCAGGTGTAAGCATGCCAGTCCCCAACTATTTCAATATAGATCTCCTTTCCCGTCACTGCGTCTCCGCACTCCATCGATTTCAATAGAGAAACTCTATAGAGTGAGGAATAATTGTTTAATTGTTTATCATGAAGATTATTGATTCTGATTAAAATGTGTGGCATGTAATAAAGCAGAAATTGATTGGAGACACCGCAGTGACTTGCTTTTGAGAAGCAATTCAATTCGACTTCATCAGCGCTTGTTTCCATAAACACACCTCCGCCTGCCCGATTCCTCACGGCTCTGCATGGCGGGCACTTAATTTCCCTGCTATTCCCTAAAACCATTTCCTATCTGTTTTGGCATTCCTCTGCAGCATGCTCTGGCTGACATCAGTGCCCAAAGATTTGTAAGCTATTAGCTGAAGGAAGCCCTCGGTGCCAGCAGCCTGCGAGCCAGAGTACAACGCAAAAGGTCAATGTCTCACACTGACAGGCTGGGACAGGTATTCGGGGTTATTCTATCAGAGGAAGCGGGTGTTGTGCAGGGATTTAACACTCTCTGCTGATAAGCTTTAACCAGCTTGCAGTTTTGGGCAGGTCAGATCTTGCACTTGGGCTCCCATGATTGAGTTTCCTTCTGCTGCTAATGGGAGATCTTAAAATCTCCTGTATTGCAAGATATACTTCCTGACTGTTTGTACAAAACCATTAGTATAAAGAGTTTATTTATGGAAGTTTAGCCACAAGCGAATGCTAAGGTGAGCTTTTTTGCAAGGCCAGGCCATACGACTCGATGGACTCCTTTTAATTTCTTGCTACATTTACACCTTCTGACTCAGTTCTGCCCTGAGCACTGATGTGTATTCTGAAAAGCATCATGCCACTATACAGATTCAAAACACTACAGAAGAACCTCTAGAGAGTACACCTACAGTACCGCTTGGGATTTGCAAATCACAGGTATCATTGTAAAATGTAAAGATTTAGATTGGGATTATCCAAGGAATTTAAAAGGATAAGAGTGACCCATTTTTCTAATTTTCAAGGGAATTTTTGTGCCTGCCTACCTTAGTATCAAGGACTATAAAGATATTAATTGCATTTTTATTAATGGAAATTAAATATCCCTTCACTTTAGAATATTTATTGTCATGTAAACAAGTTTCAGGTTAGTTTATTTGTTCATTTACTTCTTAGCAGAATAGCTGCACTGGATAAATTGTTTATCATCTCAATCTTGCTCATGTGAGATTACAAATTTTTCTTTGTACACGTTGCATATGGGATCACTTCATTTAACTCTCAGTGCCTTGGGACTCGGTTCCATACCATGCATAGCGACACAGTAAAGCCATCCATCTAAAAGAGAAAGGGTTCATATTATGCTATGATTTGCCTATTCAAGATAACCCTAAAATATTGATAGCAACGAGGGATCAGTGCTCCCGCAGAGGAGCTGGGAGTTCTGCCTTGAGCTATTGCATATCCAGCAACAGCTTGTGCATGATTCGGGAAACCCGAGCACGTTTTATTGAAAAGGAGAAGCTCCAAGCTTCAAGTATTCACTTTATTTAGCATGGTTTTTTTTTTTTTTTTTGAAAGTTCCACATGTTGCACTTTAAAGTTCCACTTTGACAGCAATCAGACAGGGGTGGAAGAAACCTTGAGCTGATAAACCCCGTTGATGGACAGTATCTTTAGCAGAGGTACTTTAAGTTTCCTAATACAGCTCTAGAGGTTCTTTCTCTGAGGACTGCACGGTTATGCACGGGGAAGGCTGCATGACCTGGAGGGCTATGCCAGTGGGAATTTTAACACCAATCAGACAGGCCAAAAGCAGTTGAGATGCACCCCACTGGTCCTCGCTGCTGGTGGTTGAACATCAGGTAAATGTTCTCTCTTCTTAGAAGTATTACAGGAAAATAATAAGGAAGATACTGTGGTCAAATAGCATGGGAAATCCTTGCTTTTACACTGAATGATTTGGAAGGTGCAAAAAGGACCTAAACAAGAGACTGCTTAGCAGGCACATGTGAAGAGTGAAAATAAATATAATTGGTTATATTATAGTGCAAGACTTGGGCAAGAGCCAAGACCGGGCACACAAGTACATGCAAAAGTGTTAACGATAGTTGAAAGATGTCTATGGAGGTCTGCCCTAGTTACCTGCTGAAGTGTGCTTCTCTCTGAACTGTGGTTTTTGTAAAGCACAGAAGTTGCATGGTTCTAATTTTTGAGGGAGAAGTTTTCTTAAAGAACAACATCCAGACGTGGGTCAGAGCGTTACATGGCACAAAATCCAGTGATGGCCAAGGGAGGGATGCTGGTGAAGTTACCCTGGCTAGTTTTGACTTTGCCAGCTCAAGAGACCAGACACATGCATTGCAGTGGAACATGGCATATGGTACAAGACCAGAGGAAAATCTGCACTGCTATTCTCTAACAATATATTATCTTTTAGCTCTGAATTAAAAAAAAAAAAAAGAAATCTTCATGTCCAAGTAGAAAATAAAATTTTTCTCTAACTTGCAGCTCTAGAGATGTGTTCTAAGACTGGAGAATCGAGTAGTTACTTGAACCAAAGCATTAGAAACATACAATGATGCAGAGTAGATTCTATAATACCTTCTACGTCTTTCACATTTTGATAAATTTGATATCTAAGCATCTGGTTTCATTTTTACACACGTAACTCCTGCCTTCTTCAAGGAGGTTCTGTACAGAACAGAATTTGACTGGAGATTTAGAATGCGAATAGCCATTCTATGGCTGATGTAAGAAGCAGAAAAATTCTGGGCGATCCAGATGCAAACGCTCTGCTCGAGCGCGCGGCAGTGAAAGGCCAGAGTAATTACTAACACATTAGGTCAGGGCTGAAGCACAATGGAGGAGCTGTGGAGAAATCCTGCAACATCACTGCCTCTCATTTCGCGTTTGCTAATCAATATAATTCATCCATCACTTACTTTCTTAAGATTGCAATCTTTCAAGAAAAAGGGAGAACTGAAAAAAAAAAAGATCTGACTGCAGAAGGAGGCTGTGTATGGCCAATATAGCAGCTGATGGAAAAATCAATCTCCAACAGCCCGGCAGGTTAGAAGAGCTGTGTCTCATAAAAGTCTGTCTTGCTCACCAGCTTTCTCAAATCATGACGTTGCTATGGTTTGGGGCAGGTTTATGGGGTGAGAAGGAGGAAGTGTACAGGCTGTAGCCTGTTATTAAAATTCCCCTAAGTGCGGCACAGGCTCCAAGCTGTGCAACAGAAAATACCTCAACCTGTGGCTGCAAGCATTACCTCTTTTTTCTGTTGTGATCACTGTGGCTTCCAGAGGCTCCCCCCAGCCCTGCCTGGTCTTGGCAGACGTCCGAAAGATGTATGCTGACTCAGGGGTGAGATCTGTAGCAGTAAACTGCCGGACTGTTGAGCCAACCTCCACCGTCGTGAACTTGTTTGGGCTGCTGCTGGCCAGGCGGTAGGCGATCTGATACCCTGAAACCACAGCATCAGCAGGAGAGAGAAATAAAGGGTCAGTTGTTTTTTTTTTTCTAGCAGAGACAAAAGAGCACCAAAACTATTGGTTTATCATAATTATTTGTTTATGTGAGACCAGAACAAAATAGTTTACTTCCTTTAGTGTTATAAAGCTCTGGCAGCCCTCCCCCAGTCGGGTGCTGTACCTTCCGAGGGAAATCACATGCAGTGGCACATACAAGGGTCTACTGAGTATCATCTGCCCTGAAACTGATTTCACTTTCCATCCTTTATACCAATAAGATACAAAATGAGTTTAATCTTTCCCGAGCATACTGGTACCTTTTTGGAAAGGCAAAAGGAACAAACAGAGTCCATGTGATTAATGTCACCTGGTTGAGCCAGTTCAGGACAACGCTCTCTGTCTCAGCTTTCCACCCAAGCACACACGTGCACGTGCACACACACATGCTCACACACTGTTCTGCCCCCTCACAATTTCAGCATTGGCTAAAACTAAAGGTTCTTCAGCTGCAGAGCGGCTCAACTGCCCAAACCGTGCAGCGTTCACACCGCTCAAGTAACTGCTTGCTCCTGCTTTTTGCACTTGCCTTTTTCTCAGCTCTCCTGCTCCCCTGTAACCATACAGCGAGTGCCAGAACTGCCAATAAAAGCATCCTTCTCCTGTCATTCAACATTGCTGCCCTTGCCCACAGCCCAAGGAAGAAGCCTGCAGGCTGTGAGGTCCTGCTTCAACCATGCAGCACTTAATAATCAATTTTGTTGATGCCTGTAAGTGATAACCCCCATTTCCAACCTGCCTGACAATTAGGAGTTCACAGTTTAGCCTGCATTATTAATGATCCAACTGTGCAAAGGAGGGCTTCCAGAGTTCTCACGCACCACTAGCAACAACTGTCCCCCAAAGAGGATCTGCCAAATGTTCAAATCCATTCTGTAAAGCCAGCAATTGAATCAGGCTCTCACTTCTGGAGCTCGACGGTAACTTTCAGTCCAGCTGCTGACTTCCAAAATCAATTAATACCAGAAGTGGTGTGGGGCTTTACTGCCCAAGCTGAATACAGTTGTACGATTAAACGCTTCATGGAGCTACACAGGGCAGAGGGCAGCCAACAAATTCAGATGAAACCAGCTGAAAACAAAACAGTCGTGACACGATCCTGCCAACCCTCTGCTCATCTTCTGAATGACAAAGGGATCTGCAGCACCTGAGACCATCTCTTTCTCTTGGAATTAATATCCCAGCTAGAGTTTGAACTCCCACCACATTTTGGCTGTAAGAAGAACGAGGGGAGCCAAACTTGGTGTGCTTCATTTGTGAAGGTCAGTGCATGAGAACCGAGTTTTTTATCTTACCTGTGGGTATCAGACTAAATCAACGACATTTATTTCCCTCTGTGAATATGCAACAACTGCCACATGCCCACTCACAGAAAAGGTACAGAGCTCCTGCACTCTCTTGAATGAACGCCATACTTGCGCGTGGTGCACGCTGTCACAAACAGTGGAACTTAATTGGGATACAGATGGTATTAATTTTGGTGTGCTGACTCTCCTGGTGCTGCTGACGATGCACCAGCATTTCCATGTCCTTTGTTCTTTGGCAGCTGCTGGGAGATGTGGGGCAACAGCCACGGCCACCTTACACGGAACAAATTTGATCACACCGACACCTCAAAGAGCGACTTGGCTTTTCCGAGCACCTCCGGCTTCAGCCCGAGCTCCCGCAGGATGCAGTAACAACAGGTTTGGGTACAGGGGTGACTCACTGCAGCGCCTTAACGCGCTCCAGGCACCTGCGTTTGAAAACGGGCATCAGCAGCGCGAGGCTGCCAGTGCCCGAGGGGCTGCCCTCGTGCTGCCTGGGGTACCCCCACCAGGGCAGCTGGTCTGCCAAGCATGTTCCTACAGCAGCATTTTCACAGCTGGATGGATGGCATGAGACTACGAGATAAAACGCAGCCTGATTTTTCAGAGCTCCTCAGCATGCTTAGATCCCAGCAAAACCACGGTCTTACACTTTGAACATTTCATTTTTTCACCTGCAAACTACCTCCTTTCATCCACGGCACCAGCTATCCCATTACTGGTCCAATATATTCCACCAAAGTATTTCTGTATCTTTAGTACTAGAGTATTTTGATCTTTTTTAAAGTCTACAGAAAGACAGCTAGCAATGAGGAGAAGGAACAGATACACTACGATCTTTTTGTTTATACAGATGTGAAGAACGTGGGAGCGAAAACCCGGGCGCAGGATCTCAATAAGGGGGAAAAAGTCAAAGAAAAGCACTGGGGAAATTTTTAGAGCAGCAGGAAAGATGAAGGAAGAAGCAAGTAAGATGGCTAAAGAAGTTTGATAAAGGGACATAAGACACAAAGAATAAGACCTGGAGGGAAAAAGAGAATATTAAAAGAATAGAAAAGTTGATTTATCTAGTTATTAAAAGATAAGTATGATATCTGGGACACATCCTTGTCAAGCAATTTCCTCTCTTTTCTAAACCTTTGTAAAATATAAAATGTAGTTAAAATGTAAGTAGGGAATAGAAAGATAACTATTTACTGCTGAACGGTGGTACTCATGCTGGAAAGCCAATTACAAGCATGCTCAGAGTCGGCAAAGGAACACATACATATCTAGGCCATTATAATAACTTACACAAGAGCTGTTCCTTGGCTAGTGTAAAAACTCATTTAGCCATGAGAAAGAAGAAATCACTTGTCACAGCCTGTCTCTCTGACAGGCTCTGCAAACTCCCTTCCAGTGCATCCCTGTGAAAAAACAGTATCAGCTCTCACTGTCCTCTCCTATGTCTGCCATGTTGGCTGACACTCTGCGCAAATATCTATTTTCCTGAGTTTACGCAACCAGAGCCGTCACCTTTATGTACTTCCTCAGAAACTCAACACTTCCCTTGGTCTGATTCCAAGGTACGTATCCAATCTCCGGACCTGAACTCACCTCGCTCTTATCGCTACCTACAAACCACCCGAGAGATACCCGGTATCTTAATTTTGATCCCCTGCATCACCTTCTCCTATTGGACAGTTCGGGACAGCCAGGATACCCGCTGGCATAAAAAGCATCACTTTTCCTTTTTCCGAGTGACACAGAAGATGCCGTATTTAAACCACAGCTTGGATAATAATTAGGGCTAACGCGAGATCAAAAAGATAAAATTATTAAGCTGATGAATTTCAGCAACAAGGGATGGGAGAAGACAGGAAATGTTAAGTGAGATCAAACGAGGCAAATCAATAGAGGTAAATGGAAAGTGTTCAAAGAGAAATTAATGTATGCTCGAGGGCTATACGAGGCAATAACTGCGATTGCTGCAGTGGAGGAATAAGGAAGCTTCCTGCCCTTACTAGATTACAACAATAAGTTGTCGCAGCTACCTTAGATTGAAAAACAAATAAAAATCAAAGGTTATGAATGAAAGCAAAACCTTTAAAAAGCCATCAGAGCAAACTTTTTTTTTGCGGAAGGAATATCCTACAGAATATGAAGTATCTGGATGATCAACAGGAAGAATTCATACTGTTTTCTCAATTTTTCTTCCTCTCCCCATATAGCACGGGATCTCAAATCTCTTCTGTTATTGGGACTTCTGCCATTCACCAGGTCAAAAACGCCCTGAAAGATCAACTCTTCAGGAGTTTATTCATTGAAACGAGGCTTATTTTTGCATTAACATCTTTTTAAGTCTTTTTTGCACAACTACAAGCAGTTCCAAGAGCTACACTTTCCAAACTCAATAAATGGCAACAGGTTGAACCGCCTGTTAAATGTTAGGTCATCGTAACACAACCAGTGGATTCCCCAAAGCAAGCAGGCAGGAAGATGACAGCACACCATGAATACGAAAAAAGCTTTCAAGCTCATCACCATACAAAGCCCTTCAGAACTGACAGCACCCGTTCAGGCAGGCCGTGGTGCAGCAGAGATATAAACATTCATTAATTTGTCACAGAACTTGGGGAAAGCCAGACGCCACTGGGAGGTTACGGTCTGCCGAGTGGAGCTGCAATCCAGTTTGTTGATTTTACTGCTTATCGGTTTAAGGGCCAGCGGGTGTGCAAATGCGGTCTAGGATCAAAATATGAATTTGCAAACATGGATTACATCCAATTTTGGTTCTAATTCTCAGCGGAGTTCTTACACTCTTTTGCAATAAGCTTCAGGTAAACGCTAAGTGTACGGATACCATGAGGAATACTAACCAGGGCCTGGGAGGATGCTGGTGGAGCTCTTGTTCTCTAGACGTGCACATATGAACATTGATGCATCATTTTTCTTTAATAGTATTTGGAGGAACTATGTTGGGTGCTAGCTGAACTGAGTGTAGAAAAGAAGACAGACTGAAGCCTCAGATGGTTAGTGTAACATTCCCAAAAGGAGAAATGGAAATATCTAGCAGTCTTCCACAGTAAAATATTTAAACAAACAAACAAGTGGTTTTCCCTCTTGGTGCCTGCCAGTATTTCATCCTTCTAATCTCTCTCTGAAATGCTAGAACATGTTTTGATGTAGATTACAAAAATGTTAGCTGCAAAGGTGCTTGTATACTCAGAGGACAGAGCTAGCAGAGCAGGAACATTAGTTCAAAGGCTCTGAATATAAGTTGCTCTTGCAAAGCGAGTATTTTTTTTTTTCCAGCCCCACTAGTGAATAGAAGGGCACAGTGCAAAATTATGTTAACTTATTTTTTTCCAACAATTCTACTTCACTGTGCTTGACTGTGGTGGTTACAGTGGTGTTTTGAAAGTTCATTACAGTAATGACATTTAAAAGGTGCACCAGAAAAAAAATAAACTTGTAACCTTTACTTAGAATGCTACACATTGTTTTTTATCTGGTTTTGAAACACTCTTCACTTCTTAGGAAAGACAGCAGAAGTACCCAGCATGAGTAATTTTTACTTTTTCTCCCTGGCATTGTCAGCTAACTACTTCCTCCACAAGCCTCAATGTTTCTACTATCAAAAAAAAAAAAAAAAAGAGTGAGAACTGTTGAATAAAGACAATGGACTTCAAAGAGGCAGACTGGGGCAACTGGTAGGTAACGTCCCCCTGAGAAGGAATTCTAAGGGAAAAAAGAATTCAGGTTAGCTGACAGTTTTAAAAGAGACAAAAAAAAAAAAAAGTACAACTATGGCAATGGAGACAAAAGATGTTAAGAGGCCAATATGTTTGGATTCAGAGCTCACTAATGACCTGAAAATCAAAACTGAATTGGACAAAAGTTGAAACAGGACACACGTCTAAGGGAGTGTATAAATAGACGGCCCAAGCACGTAGGGACAAAATCAGAATGGCTAAAGTGTAAAGTGAGTTGTAACTTGAAGGGCATCAAAGACACTGAGACTTTGTAAATACATTAGAAATCTGACAGACAGAAGGAGGACAGGTCAACTAGTGGGAAAAAAAAAATTAGCAGAAGACCAGTGAGACAAAAAAGAATGGAAGGCTGATACTGCCATTGCTCCATTTTGACACACACACACAAGTTGATGCTGACTAGATACTTAACACAAATTAAAACTGACAACAATGTAAGTAGGGATGCAGGCTGGAATAGAGAACAAGTTAACGAATATATAGTTAAGCTAGATATAATCAAGTCAGAAGGGTCTGATGCAATTTGCCCCACAGCGCTTACGTAACGAGCTGGAGCCATCTCTGAATAATTAGTGATTATCTTCAAGAACTTGTGGAGGACAGATGACATCCCAGAATATTACAGAAGGGCAAACAGAGTACTCTATCTTTCAAAATGGTGAATCGACCTGAGGAATTATGGACAAATCAAGCTAAAGCTCAATACTCAGAAAGATCCTGGGAAAAAATATGAGTCAGCGTATAAGCATCCATGAGGAAAATAAAGGTCCGAGGAACAGACAATATGTATTTGTCTGGAGCAAACAGTAAATATCAAATAATCTATTTTCCATTTTGACAGTGTAATTGGCCAGGTGGGAAGAGTAGGTGTGATCCACAGGGACTTTAAGTAAGGCTTTAATATGGTTGCACAGAGCCCTGTCTAAAGCAAACAAGAGAAACAGAATCTAAGAAAAATACTAAACGCTTTGACTTGAACACTTTTTTTTTTAAAAAAAAAAGTCAAAATGTTGTTATCAGCAGTTTGCTAACAAACCGGGAGAACATATTAAGGTCTCATGAGAGTAAGTCGTGAGTCTGGCTCTGCTCAACATTTTCATTAATGACAGGGCTGATGGAATTGCCAGGCTACTTGCAAACTCCAAAAACAAAACCAAATTGTGAGTGGCTGCGAGCCCTTTAGAGGACAAGACTGTAATTTAAAGTGATCTCGATAACGAGGAGAGACGGTCCGGAATCGGTAAAATGAAATTCAATAAAGGCACCTGCAAATTATCACACTTACAAAGAAAAAGCTTAATGTACATATAAAAGAGGGACTGACTGATCTGGAATTGTACTGCAGAAAAAGGGTAGGAATTAATAGTGGGTCAGAGATCTACTTAGTTACAACATCAGTGTTGCAAAAAAGCAAAGTCACAACAGGATCAAGTATCCTGGGACGTGTTTCTGGGAATGGACTACGCAAGACATCGGAGGCAAAACTCTACATGCTAACCATGCCAAGCATTCTTTACAGGATACCCTTCTCCTTTCCTTCCAACCCTGCATTTGTACGATTTTATCATCAACGCAGCAGCAATGAGCAAGAGCCAACTGAGAAGGGGATGAATTGCACAAAGCCCTCTGCAAAGACAAAATAAAAGGGAGCTTCTACTCCCCCGAGCTTGCAACTTCAGCAAATAAAGCTGACGAAGTGCAGCAACATGAGACACTGGAACACAGTCGGGAGAGCAAAATCTCTTTTGTACTTTCTCATCAGTTCTATCAAATGATTTTTTTCCTCCTTAACCACATCCTGTGATTCAAATCCCAACCTCTACTGAGAGCAAGTTCTAGGACACACAGTTCCTTAGAAAAAAGCAACAAATCAAACCAACAAGACAACCTGGAAGTCAAGCTTCCTTGAGCTGCAGAGAAACCCTGCGTGGATCTGTCTCTGGCAGCTAACTGCTGCCAAGCTTCACACAGGCTCTTTCTCGTGCTCAGAAAATCCCCGCAGCGGCTGCCTTTGGATCCCGTTCGATGATTTCCCTGCATCTTTAGGCATCAGGATCGCTTTGGGAAACCACACACCTGAGCAAACACTTTGAGTTCTTGACTCAAGATTTAAAGGCAATGCAAGACCGCTCCTTTGTTTAAAGGGATGCCACCAACACAGCAGCATTTGAAGTAGACACCCTCCACTCAACCATGAAGGCTTTAGGAAATATTGCTAAAAGGCTACATATGCAAGCCTGAACCATGGCAGCAAAATCAGAAGCAGAAAGGCCTGGCAGACTGAGAACTAGGAAAAAAACAAAAGCTTTTGTTTCTGTTTTCAGAATTGAGAGACAAATCTTTACTCACCAGCTAGTACTACTGCGAAATGTGTTTAACATCAGCAGAGAACACAGAATTGCGGGGTAACTATTAGCTCTTTTAATTTTAGAGGCAAGAATGGATTCTTACATTGTAAAAGTCTTCATGTTTTAAGTACAAGTAGCAGCTGGTGTACGTATTGCAAAGGCAACCCAAGAGTTACGGGAAGGGGAAGGTTAAGAAGGTTTTTCACAAATTCCTGTCATGCCTTGCTGCCTCTATTTCCCTTGATGAAAAGCCAAATATGAGTTCACTCCTTGTGACAGTATTATCCAAAGGAAACAATAAAATGGAAGCACATGTGAAACTGAAACGATGGCCACGGCCGGCAAAGGTGAGTGGGAGGAAGGAGGGGAAAATCCAGCTCTCCAGGCACACTGCCCAACAGCCAGCCAAAGAGGTTACAAACCCAAATGCAGATGAGAAGTGAAATGAGAATTCAAGTACAGTGCTGTGAACAACATGTAATTCTGGCTCAGGAAAACACACACCATGGAGTTGGGCAGACCTTTCCTCCTCACTGCAGGGTACCATGTCTTTCAGCTGACGTTGATATATTTTGTTTTCTTTAGCCATGGATTTGCTTACGCGTGGTTTCTAATCTGATGTACAAGGGGAAGGAAAACCCAACAGCCGGAGCTCACTCTGGTCTCCACCCCTCTCCTCCCAGCCTTGGGTTTGCTGCTCCCTCTTACCCAGAATAATTCCATTGGGTTCCTCCGGTGGCTGCCAAACAATCCGTACGGATGTCAGCCTCACCTCGGGGAACACCAGCCTCACGGGCGGCCCGGGAGCTGGAAAGAAAAACAGAGATCGTGCTAGCAAGCATTGCAAGTCAGAGGAATAACAAGTTCTCTGCTCACCTTTCGTAGAAGGCAGCCCAAGCCATCTCTCACCAATAGTAAGTAGATGGTTAGGAGTGCCTACATACCTACAGAATATAAATTTATTCTGAGGAATCCTGTCCATGGCCAAATGCCTCCAGCACCCACAGACACCAAACACGACACAGAACCAGTGCTTCCTACAGTGTTCTGCTCCACCTGTGAAACACACTTAGTGGGACGCTCTGACAAAGGAACTCCGACCTCTGCGAGAGTTCTCTCCCAGCAGAGTAGTGGGAAGTCCCTGCGAGCCCACCGCAGCACCGCTGCGTAACTGCCACTGCCCCTACCGATAGCTGTGTCAACTTCATCTGCTTCATACCTGTTGGAATTGAATAACACCTCCTCTCCGTGTCATTAGCACCAGCTTGGAAGTGCCTTCTGATTTTACATGTGCATTTTAAACACTTAAGTCTGAGCAGGAGAATCTGAGGCAGGTGAGATGCACATTAATACAGACGGCTGGTGGCTGCACTGACCATCCCAGGTTCACGAGGTGAGGAGAAGCTAATTTGTACATTAGCATCTGCAAAATTTCCCCTTCAGCACAAATTCTACCTGCATTACCCCTGATGATAGTTTTAATTAAGTTGAGTCCAGAGGAGACACAACATATTTATGTCAGGGGTATGGAGATGGAAGAACAATTTGTATCATTTGCCAACACGCACTTAAGGAGAGAATGGCTATAATGGGGTTATCTAAAACAAATAGTTTAAATATTTCTCATTATAGTCCAATATGTACATTTCAGTGAGTGCTTTTTCTCTCCCTGCAGAGTTCTGCTAACAGTAATTTCTCTTTGTTTCCTTTCAAAGAAAAGCCGTGTCCCCGCACAGGCAGTGTGCTGGGAAAATGGCTAAAAATATGCCAGGGAGCTGCTGTCCCTATTCCCATCCCCATATGCTCTTACTCCTTCCTTGCACGTCGCAGAAAATGACTTGTTAAGCCAGAAATCTGAGTGTGTTTTCAGCCCAACGAAATCACCTTAATGAAGTTGCTTGTAGAAACCAATGTTTATTCCATTACTGTTGAAAACATTTTGATGAAAATAGAGAGTCTTGGTTTTGGAAGGGGAGTAATAAACAGAAGCCTCTCACACTGATATTAACCTTCAGTTAATACTGAAAAGGTAATAAAACTAAAAGTAACT